CCCGGCCGAACCGTCGCGAAGGAGCGCCGAGTGTCCGCCGCCGCTGCCGCACAAGTGTCGTAAAGCGCGGGCCCCTAAAGAAGCCCTTGGCGCGCCTGCGCAGGGCTCGCTCTCCGTAGAGCGCGCTGAGGACAAGGTGACCAGGGGGTTGCCAGAAAGCACCCCTCGTGGAGTAAGCCGATAGGGAAGGAGAACAGAGGCGATCGGGGGGAAAGGCCCGACTTGGCCCCTGTCCCCAAAGTTACCACTTTCCGATGGCGCAAAAGTTTCTCGGGGCTTAAAGTGGGATTTTCCTGCCGTCCTGCTGGGTGGTGGGTGGGTGGCTCATGCCTCTGGCGGGTGTGGCTACTCTGCAGGGCAGCACCGTGCCCAGTGCGGAGCCGGAGCTGGGCGTCCAGCCCTCTGCCAATTACCTGTGTCATCTTGAACAAATCTTCCCCTCCTCTAGTGCCTCAGTTAGTCCTCTCTGAAAAGTGAGTGGTTTCTCAAACAAACAAAATAAGTTCCAACCTTGAGGGTCAGTGTTTCTGAGTTATTAGCCGAAGGCACCCTGGATCTCCAAGTCCTGAGCAAGGCTTGGAATGTTTTTGCTCCATTTTCTTTCTCTCTCTGCATTCAGCTTCCCAGATCTCGGTGAATCTTCAAAATGACTCCCCTACTTGTCTGCATTTTTGTTGCCTGGATCACAGCATCTTCCTCTACTGCTTCCCGTTAGCCCCCCTCCTCAAGTTTGTCCTCCATATGGGAGTTAGAGGGATCTTTTTAAGATATAAGATCATAGCGCACACACCCCAACCTTCGATGACTCCCCAGGGCCCTTAGGAGAAACCCCAAACTTGTTCTGATTACCTAGGAGACCCTGAATAGTCTAGCCTCAGGCAACATCTTCAGATCCTACCCCCTCTCCCAATCCCCACATACTGCACACACTTCCAGCCCATCCTTTCCAAGCCCTGGGCCTCTACTTATGACCACCTGTAGCACCAAGTCCTTTAAGGCTCTGCTCTGGCTCCCTTCCTGAAAGCACAAACTATCCCACCGCAAAACCTCTTGTCCTGTCGGTCTAACCCCACCTCTCCCACTGCTCCCCACCACAACCAACAATCATACTAGAAGGTAGATATTAGGGGGCCGGCCCGTGGCTCACTCAGGAGAGTGCGGTGCTGATAACACCAAGGCCGCGGGTTCGGATCCCATATAGGGATGGCCGGTTTGCTCACTGGCTGAGCCTGGTGCTGACAACACCAAGTCAAGGGTTAAGATCCCCTTACCGGTCATCTTTTTTTTTTAAAAAAAGGTAGATATTAGTATCGACCCCATTTTACAGACGAGCACACAGATTTGAAGATTTGCAGAGATCAACACACTTGCCCAAGATCACACCACAGGGAAGTGACAGAACCAGGATTTGAATCTTTCCCAACTAATTCTTGTGCTCTTAATTCCTACTCTACTGCCTCTGTATGTGCCGGTGCCCACACTGTGGGTTAATAGATCTTTTTTCCTCTCTCTCTTTCCTTTTTTTTTTTTTTTTTTTTTTTTTTTTTTTTTNCCACATTAGTGTTTGGCAGAGTGTCTGACACAGAGTAAGTACTTTTTATATTCACTCCACTACAAATTTTCAGAGTGGGGTAGAGTGCCTAGTGCTATGATGGGGGAGGGGGGCTTCTAGGGGGTTGTGGAAGGATCTTGTCCAACTGGGGCAGGCAGGGAGGGCTTCCTGGAGGAGGGGGGTGTCTGAACCAAGATCTGAACTATGAGTAGAAGATAACCAACTGAGGGGAGAGAGGAAGGGAGAAAGGCATTCGAGGCAGAGGGAACAGCAAGTGCAAAGGCTTGAAAGGAGTATTCTTCCCTTGGAGAGATTCCTATGTGGAACACAGGAGGGGGTTGAAGGTGGTGTACAGAGACGTGACAGAACAGACGCATCCACCCACACATGAGTCTGTAGACACACAATCTCTCCCTTGCACACATGTGCTCACTTAAGTATAGAGAATCCTGTCACATGGACATACATCAGTGCCCAGAATTATAGCGTCAAACATCCACACGTATACGCAGAATCACAACATGACCCAGACACACACAGGTACAAAAAATCGCAATGCCTCCCACACTCAGGAACACAGAAACCCAAAGTAACCAGAAACACACAAGGCAGAGTCATTTCACCCAGGAACTAACACATACATGTAGAAGGAATTACAAATCCCCACAACACAGGTTCACAGAATTATGTCACAAAGACTCACCAGTATACACAGAATGACACCACCACCAGACAAACACATTATACAGGCACACATAGGAACACAGAGTCTCTCTCACACACACACAATCAAAAAGTAATGTGGGGGCCGAGCCCGTGGCGCACTCAGGAGAGTGCGGCGCTGGGAGTGCTGCAGCGCTCCCGCCGCGGGTTCGGANAAAGGAAAAAAAAAAAAAAAAAAAAAAGTAATGTGGACACCCAGTGTACCCACACCCGACGCAACCCCACAGATGAGTCAACACAGAGCTCTGGTGCCTACTAAGGCAAGGTCTTTATGGTGGTATAGAGATTAGCGGGTTTCAGAGCCAGCATGGCTGGTCCAGTCCCTTCTCCCCTAGCCCAGCACAATTCCTTCCATTGAGAGCCCATGTTGCCCCCCTGAGGGAGGGAGGGGTCAGACCCTTTCCTCCCATAGCACCAATCTGGACAGGCCATCCCCTGACAAAATAGAGTGAGCAGTACCTTCCAAAAAGGGGGTGAATGGGGCTGAGAGGGAAAGCCCTTTTCCTGTGGGAGACCAAGAGTAGCACCATTGTACAAAGGGAGTTGGAGGGTAAGGGGACACGTAGCTGGTGGCAGAGAGCTGAGGAGTTCTGGCCTCTCTCCCCACCTGTCATATACAGATAGAGTTGTGCATGTACAGTGCAGCTGGAGCCCCAGGTCCCCCAGACACCTGGGATAAAGTCAAGGTAAGTGTATGCCTGGAGGGTTGGGGTAGGGACTGAAAGGAGTTCTAGTTTAGAAAAATTTTAGGGATATGAGATTGGAGAGACTTGAATATGAAGTCCATGAGGGACCTAGAGAATAGGGATCTGGCATGGGAAGACTGAAGGTAAGAAGTGGGGCAAGTTCAGTGGGGTGGGAAGCCCAGAATAGAGTTAGGAGGGTGAGATCTGGAACCAGGGAGTCAGGAGTTAAGATTCGAAACCAGAGGAATGTAGAGGGTGAAGTCTAGATTCTAGAATCAGAAGCATTTGTAGGCAGAGTTCTAGAACCAGAGGAATTTGGATGTGAAATCAGAGGCAAATAGGGGCTGTGAAGCCTGGAATCAGAGAAATTGAGAGAGTAAGAACTAGAGTCAGAAAAATCCCGAAGGCCAAGTTTTAGAACCAGAGGGATTTTAGAGTCCTAAGATCTAGAATGAGAAGGAATTGGGGGGTTGTAAGGTCTAGAACCAGAGATATTTATAAGGCAAGGTCTATAGTCAGAAGATGTTTGAAGGGTGAGTTCTAGATTTGGAGGCATAACATCTAGAGTGAGGGAGAGTAGGAAATTGTGAGGTTTAGAACCAAGGGAACTTATTGGGTGAGGTCTAGAATCAGAGGATATTTGCAGCTCAGTTCTAGAGCCAGAGAAATGGTAGATCATCAGATCTGGGATCAGAGGATCCTGAAGATTGCAAAGTCTAAAGATTGTATAGTCTAGAACCAGTGAATGGTGGAGAGCACGAGGTCTGCAACCTAAGAACTGGAGCATGGTTTCTGGTTTTGGAAGAACCGGTTATATAATCAAGAGATAAAACTCATTTTACTTCTCGAGAGTAGAGAGTTGAAGAAAAATAAGCTGAGCATTATGAGATCTGGAACGAAAATGATTTAGAAATTAGGAAGTCTGGATTTGGAACCAAAATGTATTACAGATCAGGAGGACCAGAATTAACAGGAAGCTTGCACTTGTGGGGTCTGGAACCAGAGGAAATCATTAGTTACAAGATCCAGAATCAGAGGGAGTTTAAGGGTATGAGATCTAGAACAAGAGGGATTTATAGGGAGAGATCTAGAACCAGAGGAATCTGGTGGTCATGGCCCTAGAGCCAGAGTGAGTGAGGGGTTGTGAGGCCCAGAACTAAACAATTTTTAGATTGTGAGGTTTGAAAATAGGCAGAATTGGAGGTTGTGAGGTCCAGAACTAGAAGAGCTGAAGATTGTGAGATCTGGAATCAAAGGGGTTTGGAGGATATAAGGTCTAAACCAGACCACACTGGAGGTAGTGTCGTCTAGATCCAGTGAAGGTCAGAGGATTTGCAGTCTGGAATGATAGACGGTTGGAGGTTGTACGGTCTGGAAGCAGAGGAAGTTGGAGGCTACCCGTGAAGTAGGAAGACCCGAATGAAGTCAGTGTTCAGGCTGGGAGTGGCAAGAAGTCCAGAGTGGAAGCGGTAGGCAGTGGAAGG